CGACGGGATCACTGAGCGGAGGATGCAGAAAAAAAGCTCATCAGCTGGGCCTAAGCTAGCGACTTGTGTCTGGAGTCCTCCAGCTACTTGAGTGGCTCTCTGACTAGCCATCGCGATGATATCCGTATCGCGTAGATATACAGAGCCGGCCGAAGAGTGCGCCCTCTCTCCTCCTCCTCGCCATAGGGCTTCCGTGATTAATAATGTTTTCAGGCAAGATCAAATGCACACGCATTTTCTCTGGTAACAACCAGAGGTATCGTTTCAAATCCCGCCCCAAAGTTTCCCTGGACCTTCTCAGCTGGCGCCTCAGCGGGACCAACTTTCGGCCGTCTCCCGTCTCTGATTACTAGGATGACCCAAACAAAGCAGCATCTTTGCGACGAGCGACCCAGCCCGTTGCCCTGTCGCCTACGCAGATCTCAATTTTTTGTCGACGCTTTCTCTCCGGTCCCGCCTGGATGGCTTTTCTTTCGATACAGGAGTATCTACTCACACGCTAAGGCCCTTTGAGTCGTCTGTATACAACCTCATCATCGTGTTTGAGCTTCCACCAGCTCCAGCAGCCCGAGCAGAGTTGGGCTTGGATGCGGCATCCTTGGCAGCAGCTCGACGCCTGTGTGAAAGCAGGCGAATGAGATGCTTGAGAGTAGGTCGCAGAACATCAGGCGTGATTGCAAGACTCACCTGAGAGCAGTGGAGTTCCTGCTGGCGAGAGCGGCCAGCTTGGCCTGAGTGGCAGATGCTGAAGCCTCGTCCGCCTGTGGAATGGATGCGATGCTTTCTTGAGCACTCGAATGAGGTTGAGGAAGCGCTAACGAGCACTCACCATGGTGTGCAAGGTTACAATCCCAAGAAGTATTGGCAGATAGAAGACGTTTGCCTCCTTGTGGCAAAGTGATCTCTGCGTATCGTCCTATCCTGCGGATTTGGGCTGCTCTTTGGTGCAATGACGGGACAGCGCCGAAAGACGGGGCGCACTTGCGTCTCTGATAGTCACAGTGAGAGGCCAGCCTGTGAGTGTTCTGAAGCGAGGAAGATCACGGGTTAAATATTTCTAGGTCATGGCAGTCAGGAGTGCTTGCGATGCCTGCGACGTGGCAGTATGCAATTTCGGCTTTACTCGCCCGCAAATGCTGGTGCGCCGACGTGCGAATACCACGTGGTTGTCGACCGAGCTGGGTGCTGATGCACGGCTCTTCCAGCTCTTCCCGCGCGGCTGTAGCCAGAGAAATTTGAGGCGAGTGCGCGTGCATGCAGCTGACGCGAAGGTGCGCGGTGGACGATGCCTGAAAGCCGCACATCAATTGAATCCTTTTTATGAATAATCAGCATCACCAAGAGTGGCCACGACCTGCAAGACAAGACGTTGCCCGATCGCAACTCTATCATCCCGATTGAACAGATTCTGCACTGCTCCTCATCGCTCACCCCTCTTGTGCCGTGTGCATACGCTTCTACGGGCAAGATGTCGCTCCTTCGTCAACCCATCGCCCGCGCAGCCAGGACTGGCCTTTGCCGTCATGTCGCCGCTCCCGCAGCTGTCGCCCAGGTCCCTGCTCGATGTGCGTTCACGAGCGATGATAGCGCCACTACCTGCAATGCATCGCTGACCAGACGCTCTCGCTGTGCCACTTATCTTCAGCGATGAGCCTCGCTTCTACCCAAGCACCCATCAGAAACGGTCGCAGCAACATCGCCGCTGCGGCCGCGGCTCGCCTTCCTGGCGCAGTGAGGACATACGCTGCTGAAGCGGGCAAGAAGTATGTGCGAAACAAGCCACACATGAACATCGGTACTATCGGGCACGTCGGTAAGTAGCTTTGTGAAGGCAAACTTGAAGAAGCCGCTCGCTGCAATCTTGTGTCTCATGCTTGTTCTCGTCAATGACCCATCTCTACCTGCAGATCATGGAAAGACCACTCTGACGGCTGCCATCACAAAGGTTCTCTTCGAGTCCAGCGGTCAGGGCAAGTTTGTGGACTATGCGAGCATTGACAAGGCGCCCGAAGAGAAGGCTCGTGGTATCACCATCTCCAGTGCGCACGTCGAGTACGAGACGGCGAACCGCCACTATGCGCACGTCGACTGCCCGGGTCACGCCGAGTGAGTCATGGAGTGTCACGCGCAGTTAGTCGCTCGCAGCGAAAGCCATGAGCTGCTCTAGGCTCAAGGATCAGAAAACAGAATTCTGGGGTTGCACTGAATCAGTAGAGCTAGCTCCGCTGGATGGCCGGCTGACTCTGGCTGCCCTTCGCATCAGCTACATTCGCAATATGATCACGGGTGCCGCTCAGATGGAGTAAGTTTTGGCGTCCTTCAAGAACCCCATTCGCTGCTCTGCTAACAAAACGCTTGCACCTCCACAGTGGCGCGATCATTGTTGTGTCCGCAACCGACGGACAGATGCCCCAGACGCGAGAGCATCTGTTGCTTGCCAAGCAGGTCGGCATCAAGAAGTTGGTCGTATTCATCAACAAGGTGGACCAAGTGGACGACAAGGAAATGCTGGAGCTGGTAGATATGGAAATGAGAGATCTGCTCTCTACCTACGGCTTTGATGGAGAGAACACCCCAATCGTTCAGGGTTCAGCCTTGGCTGCTCTGGAAGGAAAGAACCCCGATATCGGCAGCGAGGCCATCGTGAAGCTGATGGCCGAGACGGACGCTTGGCTTGAGCAGCCCGTCCGTGATCTTGACAAGCCTTTCTTGATGCCCGTGGAGGATGTCTTCTCCATTTCCGGGCGCGGAACTGTTGTCACTGGCCGTGTGGAGCGTGGCATTATCAGCAAGGGGCAGGAGATCGAGTTGGTCGGTCTTGGCAACAGCTTGAAGACCACCTTGACGGGCGTTGAAATGTTCCACAGAGAGCTTGACCGAGGAGAAGCTGGTGATAACATGGGAGCTCTTCTGCGTGGAGTTCGCCGAGACCAGGTGCGCAGAGGTCAAGTGCTCGCTCTGCCAGGTTCCATCAAGCCGGTGAAGAAGTTCGAAGGACAGTACTACATTCTCACAGCCCAGGAGGGCGGACGCCGCTCCCCCTTTGCGAGCGGTTACAGGCCACAGCTCTTCATCCGAACCGCGGACGTTACAATCTCTCTGACATTGCCAGAGGGCCAAGAGGATCAGATGGTCATGCCTGGAGACAATGTCACCCTTAATGGCGAGCTCACTCATGATCTGCCCATCGAGATCGGAAGCAGATTTACCCTGCGAGAGGGAGGTCGCACTATTGGGACCGGTATCTGCACCAAGATTGTTGCCTAGACGTAGGCTGGGCCTTTGTAGCAATGCAATACCTTTTGCACACATTTCGTCAACGGCCCAAGCAGATCCAGGACACGGAGCGCGTTCGACTCGGACGCGATTGCCAGACGCTCCTTCTAGCTGAAGCTAGCGACGAGCGTTCAAGAAGAAGGCGGATGCTACGCATCGAAAGGCGGCTCATGCCTTGTAATCACTACTCATCATTGTACCTGAACGTGACACAGTCTGCAATCCCGGTGTGCTCGCTTCGACTCGCAAGTGAGCGCCAAGCTACTTCGCTCGCCCTACAGCAAAAGCTAGAGCGCTGCTTTCGAATCTAACTTGAATGCGGGTACTAGCTGGAGGCGTGAGTGTTGCTAGCGCGTTGTATTCCCAGTCTCTTGACCGAGACCCAGGATTGAGCGAACGCGCGCGGTGCACACGTCTCGGATACGCGACGCCATGCCATTTGAACCGGATCGCTTGCTACCGCAGTGACGCGGCCGACTCAGAAACCAAACTCCAGCGGGTTCGAGTCAAGTCCCATCGCTCGCTTTTGCGAGGCGTTTGGGCCGCGGTTGCATGCGCACGAACAGCTACGCCTTGAGAAACGAGCCCACCTCGAGGTCGCTTTGGAGAAACTTGAGTCTTGAGTTGCTTGTGGAAGAGGCTTGAAAGGGGCTACACTATCTAGTCACGTGTCTTCTGTGAGCCGTCACCCGCGCGCACGCGGATGCGGCAAGCCGACCTGGCCTCCGCCGGCCCACGGAGCAGCAGAAGCTATGTGGTCTGTGCCGCGTCATATCACCTTCTCTCTGCTCGCAATTTTTTCGTTGCAAGGCTTCGAGCGAAGGTCGATGGCGCCGTCGCTCTTGTGGCGAACACAAGACACTGAGGAGCTTGCTCACTTTGCCTCCTGCGCTCATCGTCACACGCTGCAATTCTTGCTACTCTCTGCACACCAAAAGTCGCCAAAGGGCTTTTTCGCGAAGCAGGGAAGACGCAGCTGTAGCCGTACGGGCTTCATTCTACGACTTTGAGCTCACGGGAGTGCAACCTGCTGCGGTAATTTCGTGCTGCTGGCTGTGTCAAGTACAATGGAAAGTCGTCGAAGCTGCGCATTCTGTCGGGCTCGCAAGCTTCGTGAGTGCGATGGCCGTCGCTGCACCGGATCTTCGGTGTTTACCGATGCTGACTTGTCCCCTTCCACTACCCCCTGTGACTACGTCGATGCACCGTCAGGGTGCTCTGGGGTACGTTAAGAGCCGCAAGGGCCAGCACTGATAGCCTCTGCTGAGATACTCGGCCTCTTGCTCCCTTCCTCTCCTCAGGAAACACCATGGTGCGACAAATGCGCCGAACGGGAGCAAACATGTGAGCTAGCTGCGCTGGACTCACCGTGAGCAGCGTTCGGAATACAAGCTGAGGAGCGTCTTTGAATGCGTGCAGGCATATATGAGCTGGTCAATACGACTAGAGCTGGCGCTCGTCCCTCCATGGAAGCCCACACGGGCAGTCCTTTCGAGTCTGGCTGTAGTCCGCACACATCAGCACCTACTGCTCCAGCGAAGCGAAAGAAAGTGTCTACCACACCGAAAGCGTCCTCGAGAGCGCGATCTATTGGAGATGTATGCGATGAGCGGGCGGGCGACTTGCAGAAGTATGGACACTGCGCAGCAGCTGCAATGGATGATGGGCACGGCGAGCTGGGTGTGTTAGCACAATCGCTAGAAGCTCCCATTGGGGAGTGGCTATTAGGTAAGCCCCAAGCAGAATCTGTATGCTCTCAACTCGTAGCTCTCTTCTGACATCCTCATTTCCATGCTGCAGTAATGGCATCTGTCTCAGTCTGGCTCACCGCTTCGCAGCACTCGTCGATGGTGCCACAGAACGAGAGCGTCCTGGGACTCCGCCACGGGATTCAAGCCCGTCTCTGGGTTCCGGACGCGAAGCCAGGAGAGAAGGTGACGTGAGTCCGAACGCTGCAGGCGGGTCACATGCACAAGCTCACGCCACATGAAACATTCATCGTGCTCAAGGGATCCTGCGAGTACCATCACCAGCTCACTGAAAGTCGAGCTCGTCAACGCCGCTTTCGCGCAGCACCCAATACTCTCTTTGCTCGTGAACAAGACAGTGAGACTCGCATCGTAGAAGTATTCGCTCACTAGCATCTGGGCCTCTGACGATTCTTGCATTCCTTGACCACTGCCAGATCCTGCAACGCGACATGCATGATGGCAATGCAGAGCGCAATCTTGTCAATGCCATTCTGGCG